TGATCTTTATTTTATTTGCAAGAATGACTCACTGTTAGCAGCAGATGGGGCCATGAACACACACCTACAACATGGCAACAGCTACAAGCAACATGGGCTGATTGGATGGTGACCACTTCTCTCTTGACTTCAACCTTCAGCTCCACGTGAGCAAAGCTCAATGGAATTCTGGCACAGACATGGTAAATCAGGGCAAGTGCAACTAACTCCCGAGCCAGGACTAGCTCGCTCTCACTGACTGCCAGTCCCCTGCCTGCTGTGGCCGACCTTTGACGAGTCCTTTGCCTTTTACCCTCTTCCCAGCGCTGACTAGTTCCCATTCACTTGGTGAGACCTCCTGAGCTCTGAATGCTGCTTCTCTCTAGTTGTTCCTTCTCAGGCTTCTCCAACACACTTCCCTGATGCTCCTATTTCTTAAGTCTCCCCCCTCCCCCGGCGTCAGTCTTCCTTGAAGGCAGCATCCTTGTCTTCCTCTCCTGCGTGTGCCCAGTGCCTGGGGTAGAAGATCGTTCCACTGACCGGGGCTGGGCGACCCACGCAGTGACCCGAGTCCCAGAACATGTTCTCTAGTCCTGGCACTCAGTGCTGGTATTTTAGCTTTTCGTGGCCCTTCCTGCAGTCGTCTGCAGATTCACTGAGCGCAGGACCTGTCACTCATTCAGTTCTGTCTCCATGATGCTCAGAGTAGAGTCTATGCTAGTGAGTCATTCATACTTATATTGTAAATGAGTTCACTCGTTTGAGATCCTGCTTGTCAAATCCACTACTACAGATTCCAGTGGAATTTCCTCTTCATGCCGTTGCTGAAGGACAGTGCCATGAGCGGCCTTACAGGGCTGCTGGATGATTTTCGGGACTTTCTCTAAGGTGTAAACTCTGGTCTCTGAGCACTTCTGAGTCCGTAGACTGGGCCAGCAGTGCTGGAGTGACTCTGCCCATGCACGTGTGTTGCTGCCTTTTCACGCCTGGTCTCCTGAATGAGGCTGCAGAGAGCCCTCTCCTTGCTGTCGGGCCTGAGGTCCTTGACAGCAGGGGCAGCAGGAGTGCTGCAGAGACGGGTGTGAGCGCAGAGGAGGACATGGGTAAGCCAAGGGTGGGCTGATCAGGAAAAGAGAGGAGCTGGGGTCAGCGGAGCGGGCCGTGAGCCCTGGGCCCTGCGTGGAGCCCGCCAGGCTGGCCCTGAACCCGTCCCAGGTGCATCCGACACACCGTCTATTCTGCTTCGTCCTCCTGACTTACTCTCAGGCGGTTGTTATTATCTAGATAGGTGTTACCTCCTCTGGGAAGCTCTTCTTGGCCTCCACTCCTGGGCTCAGGGGCCCTGCATTAGGTCCCTTGGCTGTGCCCTGCGGGGTGGCTAGCCCGTGGTCTCCTCACGACCGGGCCTGCCTGTTGATCAGCAGAAACCCAGCGTGTGGGGACTGGAGCACATGCTGGCAGATGTTTGCTGAATGAAGGAATGAGCACATGCCAGGAGCCCTCACTGCTTGTATCTCTGTCCCCTGGGACTCCTGCCTGTGCAGGATCTGTGGGGTTTTACGCTGACGTCCTGGAGGGAATGTCCGGCCACGGCCAGCAGTGGATGGGCCCAGGTGTGTCACTGAACGGGTGTGCAGGGCTGGAGGACACCGTGGAGAGCTTGCTCGGGACGCAGGGCAGGTCCACCGCAGGGAGAGCGGTCCGGTGACCCAGGGTGGTTAACTGGGGGATGCAGGTGGCAGAGACTGGGAGCCAGAAGTCGGATCAGCCCCCACCTGGGGCGTCGGGAGGAGAGGCCAGGCTTGGGTAGGAACCAGCATGTCAAATACCTTTGCAAACAAACGTAAACAAATGAGGTTTGCTCAGGGCAGTCTTGGTTTTCACCTACGGCCCGGAGTAGAGATGAGCAGAAGGGCCGCAGTTTGAAGGTGGGTCGCAGGCTCCCATCCTCCACTAGGGGCGCCACCTGCTCGTCACAGCCAGCCTACGCCTCTGCTGTCACTGAACACTCCTAGCGCCACTGTGCCTTGACCAGGTCATGCCCAGGATGTGGGCCTGCTCATCACAGGCCTGTCCCTCTGCCCCCGCCCCACCCTGCCACCAGTTCGTTGCCGCCCGGAACCACGAGCTCTCCCTAAAGGAGGCGGCTGGTCATGGGGTCAGTGAGGGACTCTGGCCAGCAGCCTCCATCCCGCCGGCACTCTGCTCTCCTCACTCGTCTTCCCAGGACCACAGGTGCCTCCCGCAACCAGGCTGCCCCCACGCCTGCCCCGCACCCCCCCGCCCCGGCGCCTAGCTTCCAGCAGCGCGGGGGCCCGCTGGGACCGCGAACCCCAAGACGCGTGCGCAGACCCAGCGTGTTGGAACCGGGTGGACCAGGGCTGACACGGGCCTGCGGGCGCCCAGCACGCAACTTTGCACGTGCTTGCAAGTGTCTTCATGTTACGGAAAGCGAAATGGACTTTTATGAGTAACAGAACTAATATTTGTTTCAATTAGAGAGAAAACGTTTTGCCCCGACAGGCAGGCAAAGGGCACAGCGCCGCTGTCCGTCTCTAATATCTATACATAAATGCTCTAACGTACGGTTGTCTCAGTGCCAACGTGGAATCCCATGCGCAGTGAGAGTCTCCAGAGGTTGAGTCGATACGATGAAGGTTAGGGGTGCCAGCTCCTTACCCCCTTTCACTCCTTGCTCTAAATGGTTGAAAACAGCCGTTAGGAGCTCGATGGGGATCAGAAATTACATTAAAAAGTGGCAGCACGTGCTCTTCCGGGGTGAGCAGTCGGAGAAAGTGGCCGGACCTCAGGCTGAGCCGGGGGTCTCCTACCACCTCCCAGATCTGGACCTTCCATCCCCGCTGTGGGCAGCGTTGCGTCTGGATGGTCCAGTGCCTGGACGGTTACAGACCTGCCCCAGCCCAAGAAGGAGAGTCCACTGTGTGGTCTCCGCCTCGAGGGCGCGGGGCTCAGGCTTCCCACCGACATGGCACCGCCCGCCTGGAGCCCCCGTGCCCGTGAGGAGGGGTCGGAGCTTTCCTCCCGGTGTCTCTGCTGCTGGGAGGGGGGTGCTCTTTCCTCTCTACAGCCTCCTGCATGTCAATATTATCACGGTGTTAAATTTAAGAATAAAATCCTGCTATAGCGGGAGTGCTATAACTGAGTAGAATTAGATTTAATTTGCATATAGGTACAGATTGTGAGCCAGAGGTGCTTTTCTACGAGGGAACCCTCCCCAGTGCAATACACCCTGTTCAGCCTGCGTTCTCGGAAATGAGGCTCCTTGTTTGTACCTGCGGCTCTGATCCGGATATATCTGGGCACCTGGGGGCCAGGATGAGGGCCTCCGTGGAGGAGGGAGAAGGCAGGGCTGTGAAGTGTCGGGTGGAGGATTGGGGGTGGCTTGGAGAGCTCCCTGCCCAGAAGGGGAGCAGAGAGTGAAGGCCCGAGGGGCTTCCACGAGTGTTGTCGGAATCAGACGCACAGACCTGCACCTGGGAGGGGGCCTGGGCATCCCTGGGTCTTGTGCCCCCTCACTCATCCTTCCCCTTCTGCTCTCCTGTGGTCGTGTCGTGGTCAGTGGAGGAGGGGTCTGTGCACCTGTCTTAGGGGCAGTGACCGTGTGGGAGGGAGCAGCCTGTCCCCCAGGGGGGCAGACGTCTGAGGGTCCAGCAGGCAGAGGGGACGAGGGAGGAATGAAGCCACGTGTCCAGGAGTCCTGCCACCAAGTAGGAGACAGAGAGCCTGGCCCGATGGCCCAGCCCCTCCCCGGGGCGTCAGATGGACAGGACTCCAGCCAAGGCCTCGTGCTCTGTACACGCTGGACCCTGGCTTCCCGCCCGCCCGCCCTGGTCCGCGATCCGGAGGTTCCGTGCTGCTGGTGGCCCCACGAGGCAGCGTGAGTTTGGGTGCTCGGATCACATCCTGGGAAGCTCCCCTGTGCCCGGGGACCCCCGAAGGAGGGACTCAGAGCTCAGGACCCTCGACTGTGACACCTCAGGATTCTTCACATTTAACTCACTTGGAACATACACTTGTTAGTTCTCTGATCATCTGAGTGATCATGATTTTCCTTTGCAAGAGTGACCAATGGCACTTTTGAGAAAAATATTTAGAAGTTTTATTTATTAAAATATTATGTATTGATTTATGTTTGATGCCTTCACATAATCACCATAACCTGGGACTGTGCTTCCAACATCAGGAAGAACTGGGTGATGAAATGAATACATTCTGATGACGTGAAATACATGGTATACAGCAGGACTGACGTGTCCAGGGAAATGTACATAGATTTATAAGAGTGTCTGCTGCTTTCTGGCATGTTTTACATTTTAAATTACCTATACTTGTCAGTTAATTTAACAAATGATAGATATTTTATATATTTATCAATTTATAGGTATACATATATTTTGCAAAATGATTGGTCTTTTATAAAACTGTTTATGCTTGTAAAAGATGCGGATAATGTATCCATGCAGTCTTAGAGTCAGGGCCGAGACCGGGGGTTCCTCCACGGTGCTTCTCCAAGTCCTCAGGGCTGCACCCCAGCCGAGGGGAGGCCTGGAGACTTCCAGGCTGCCCTGCAGACCTTCAGGGTGGGCAGACCTATGGAGAAATAGACATGTTTTCTTTTCAGTCATCGGTTTTGTGGCTGTGGATTTTGAAAGGCTTCAGTTTTCGGGCCAGGAGGCCATGTGCTAGGTCCTCAGCTGGGCGGTGCTGGTCCCTGCCGTGTCCTCTTGTCCTCTGGGTAAATGGCAGAGCCGGCTGAGAGCTGGGGTCTCCTGGTTCCCGGCCAAGGGCTCCCTCCAAAGCCCAGCAGCGCCCAAGGGCAACTGGACAGGATCAGACATCCTCCATCTTCTCTGCGGTGCTTCCTGAGACCGAGGACAGTAGGCTGACAGCTTACAATCCACGTGATGCCCGGCGAGGATGCACGCATGTCTGGTCTCCGGACTTCAGCTCATACCAACGAGTAGATATGTTTCTAACTGTATCGTTGCTGTGTTTTCTAGGAGCTGGAAAAGATAGGGACCTCTCCCCATCAGCTGAGTTGTGAAGGTCTTATCAGGAATCTGTCCAGCGCCTTGGAAAGCTTCAGGAGCAGCTTGGAAGATGCCAGCGAGCAGGACTGTGAATGCCAGCCCGGACCGGCCTCCATGCTGCACACGCACACATATGTGCCCTCTGGCGGGGCCCCCACCTCCTCAGTCTCCCTTCATGAAGACGATGCATTTTAAATTATGAGTTTCAGACAATAATGTGTACAATATACCATTAACACATGTGTTTTCTCACCAACACCAAAATTTCCCGTGACTTTAACTTTTTAAATTGTAAACTGTAGGAGCTGCATTAGTGCTAAGTCTAGCTTTACTGGGGATCAAGAAGCTGGATCAACATGTCGAGATCTGAGATTACAATATGGTATTGGAATAGTTCTATAAGAGCAGTCAGCGATTTTTCAAATGACCTTCACACTGGATTCATTTTGTACTGTATTCTCAAAAGTGTGAGCCCCCAGAAGAGGAAATTGGGGCCTTCGTGTTCTGCAAGTGACTTATTCACAGAAGGAATGATGTTCCTCTGACTTCTCGATACCCTGATTTCTCATACATGCCACGGTCTATCCTATCGGTTCCTTTCACATTTGTGAGAAGCCATTTGTTACCCATCCTTATTCCCCTGACTCATCTTGCCTGGCAGGCACCTGGTATTGACAGGTATTCGCACACAGAGACATCGTGTGTCGGAATCTCTGAGGAATCTTATGGAAAGGCAGTATTGTTCTCTAGTTCATTTCCTGGGAACTGAGGCAGCATATTCACTCCAGCACTGTTCCTGGTGTTTTATCTTGCCTAAATTAGCTTTAATTTTCTGCCATTTTAGGTTGGCCCAAAGCCTCTAGAAGACTTTGTTGTCTGGGAATCCCATTATGACTTTTCTTAGCAATTTCACAGTAACTGGGGGTAAGTACGTAGTTCCTCCAAGTTTGCTTGATTAAAAATTAAATTTAGTTTCTCACGCAAATATATTATTAAAATAAAACATATTAAGGTAGAGTTATGCTATCTATATATGATAAATAACAATTTAGAGCCTGGCAGGTCTGATGTATTGGGGTTGAGAAGGAAACCCTAAAGTCCTGGGTACCAAAACCAAGACGGGGAGAGAGAAAAGCTTCTGTGGCCTGGGTGTCTCCCTGGCCCTCCCTCCCTGCACATCTGGGAGTCTCTGTTTCCCCGTCTGTCCAGTCTTGCTATTCCTGAAGCCCTTGCAGCATCAACAAGTCAAGTATGAAGAATCCGGTCAAATCTCCTCTTGTTAGGAAAAGTGAGATGAATGGATACGTGGAGAGAAGTGCGTTTCCTTGGTCACTGTTCCCTCAGAAAAAACACCTCCTTCGAGAGTCGAGTGTCAAATGCACACGTCTTAGAGGAAGCAAGGGAGTAGAAATACCCCATAACCTGGGGTTTTGTTTTACTTCCGGTCAGATGATCTCAGTTCCTCCCAGAAGTGTAGGAGATGACTTTATTTAGTGCTTATTATGGGCTGGATGTAGTGGAGGAAACATCCTTGCCAGTTTTTGTTTGTTTGTTTTTTGTTTTGCAGTACACGGGCCTCTCACTGTTGCGGCCTCTCCCGTTGTGGAGCACAGGCTCCAGATGCGTAGGCTTAGCGGCCATGGCTCACGGGCCCAGCCGCTCTGCGGCATGTGGGATCCTGCCGGACCGGGGCACGAACCCGTGACCCCTGCATCGGCAGGCGGACTCTCAACCACTGCGCCACCAGGGAAGCCCCTTGCCAGGTTTTCATGTCAAATCTTGTCTTCAGTCAGGAATAGCCCAAACGCTTATTATTACAAGATTTCCTTCCTTCTGATTATTTTTCAGACGTAAAAGTAAAAGAGTTGGTGCAGAACAACACCAAGTTAACTGAAGAGCTTCGATCTTCTCTCCACATCTCGGATGAAACTATCAGCAGCATTTGAGAAGCAAACGTTTCCCACTCAGAGCTACAGTTTGCTGCTTCTCCCGCCTCACAAGCCCTCGACGTCCTGGAGCTGTCGGCCTCGTGTGGTCCCTTCTCCCCTCTCTCCCCGTGGCTGGGGGTTGAGTGGGAATGATGTAAAGAGGCAGACAGGAGATCAGAGAACAAGCTGGCCACCCAAGCACGTTATCATCTTCTGCCACCACCGTGGGGTCTTCAGTTTCATAATGTTGTCTTCTTTGGGGTTTGAAAGGATAACATTGGTGATGATACTTATTCCACTGATTCCCAAACTGATGCACGACAGCCTGGGTAATTGATTTCCTTTCAGTAGGGAGAGCCGGGTCCAATCTGACTGCACCGCTTAGTGTGACAGCAGCGAGCAGTCAGGCCGTGTCATCCCCACGGTGGCTGAGGAACACTGATTAGGGCCCCAGAAATAAGGAGGTGGGGACGCGGGCCGTGGCGGTGGGCTGGGTTTGCCCGCGGAGGGAGGAGCCGGGGAATTTCACCTGGATCCTCGGCAGGGACTTCGCTGAGATGACCTTTCAGCACATCGTGTGGGGATTTACTTTCCTGTGCAGACAGCCTGCGAGAAGCACTAGCCACGAAGATGGCCCTCAAGTGACCATTTGTATTGACAATCACCTGGGCCTCAACGGACGTTTACTTTCACGTTGATTCCTGTTACCTGGGGCTAAACGCAAGCCCTGACAAGTAGATGAGTTACTCAAGAATTAACCTGCTTTGAGAAAGAAACGGATTAGAAGCTAGGAACCCCAAATTCGAGTTACGGTCTCAAGTTGTCTGCGGTATGTCACATGGGTCTTCAAGGAAAATGTCAGAGGCGGCTTATCGGACGGCACGCGTTACTGGTGTGCGGGGGTCAGGGTGGGGTGAGGACACCGCCTCGCCGGCTGCCTTAACTGTAAACAGTGGTCAGATGTGGTTTGAAATCTTTATTCAGGGAACTTGTGACGGGAATGGAGCAGTGAGTTGATTTCAGTAGCTGACCCACAGGGCTGTACGAGGAGCGTCAGGTTAGCTGACTTCCAGCCTTTGTAGATTCAGAATGTTACCATCTTCTCGGCCCGGTGGTTGCTGCCCGATTAGCAAGTGGCCACCAGGGGTCGCTGACGCTCCGTGGTGGGAGCGCTGGGCCTCGAGAAGGCTCGCGTTCTGAGGTGCCTTTGCTGCAGGAGCGGCTGTGCGGTGCTTCCTGCGTGCACGTGTCTCTCACGACGTGAGTCGCTGCAGGCCGTCCCCTGAGTGGCTGGACGTTTTGGTCATTGGCGGGGGCGTTAAAAAAGCTTGCATTCTTGGCATTCATATAAGTAACGAAGTTACTCTCTGGGGTAAAGTGTATCCATGAACCCACGTGTGTCTTAGGTTACAAATTCATGTTTGGTAGGTGACAGTTTGGGGCCTAGGTTTTTCTGCGTGGTGAGGTTGACAGCACATGTATGTGTCACTACATATAATCTGTAGTGACCTTTCACTGTTTCTCTCTCTGGGCGCCTCTGCCTTACTTTCAGTCAGTGCTGAATTGATCACGTCAGAGCCTCAGCGTTCCCGGGGGGCACATTTCCTTGGCACGAGGTCCTGGGAAAATGGCAGGAGTTCGCACTCATTCACTCACTGCAAATCTCCCTTCCCGTTGTGTGAGCTTCCAGAAGCTGGAGCCCCCAGCCCCCGAAGGGAGCCGGTGCCTGCGGGCTGGCTCGCCAGATCAACAGACACGTATGGGCAGCGAAGTCCAGAAGCGCGTGTGCCGCGGAATTTCAGTGTACAGTGTACAGCAGTGGGGCCACTGGGCCCAGGAGCCGCCCTGCAGACGGGGCTCGGGGCTCAGACGGACGTGATGAGAAGCCTCTGGCTGTGAAGAGCGACGGGAGAGTCGCAGGGTGGAGGCCTCAGGTCCAAGGGCCCGAGGCAGCGGGAAGGGAAGGGGCAGGGCCAGCTGTTCCGGGACGTGGTGCCCCTGGGAAGCTTCCCTCTGCCCGCGCTCTGTCCTGAGCCCTGGCAGCTCCCATCAAAACCAAATCTCAGACTCCCGGACCCTGGAGCTCACCTCCCCCACTGCCATCCTGGACTGAATCCCCTCCACCCACCCTGGACGCACCCAAGCCTCGTAGGCTGCAGTGCCGGATCAACAGCGACTTCCTCCCTCTGTGTTCCAGGCCACATTTTTATTCTTTTAAAGGCAGCAGTGAGGTCGAAGAGTCAGGACCAAATAGACCGAGAGGGCGACCAGAGGGTCTGTCTCCCCCTATCCTCCACAACTGAGCGTGTTCGGAGGGCCTGGGAGACAGGCTCCCACCATCCTCAGCAGACTTGCCCACCCACCCTCCAGGTTCTTACAGACGGAGGTGTGGGAGGGATGCCCGAGAGTGATGATCTCTTCTGTGCGGGGCCCCCCAGAGGGAGAAAGCATCCTGACACCTTGCCTTACTTCCCTTGGGCAGGAACAAGTGCCTTTGGTGGATCTGGCCCAGCCTCTCTCGGTCACTCGAAGTGGTTCCGTAAAGCATCAGGGACGCCTGGCTGGCACACGGTTTGGTGAGAGAGATGCCTTGCAGGGATTCACCAGCACCTCCAATTCCGTTGGGTAAAAGCTGCAGCAGATGGTTGCTGGCGGGACTCATGTCAGCGTAGACACTGGTAAAAACGGGCTCATTCTGGCTTTTTCCCTCCGTGAGAGGGAAAGAAATAATCAGTATGTGAGCGGAGCTAAGGGTTTCTGGCCCATGCCGAAGAACTTGGTCCCACGTGCCCTGGGAGGTACCGCCGGTCACTGGGAGCGTCAGATCCTGAGGGAGCTCGTCCTGGGCTCTGAGTCCTGCAGACCACCCTGCTCCCACACCATCCGGATGGACGTCATGGTGCTTTTAACTTGGGGAACTTCAGACCCTCCACCACCAGCAGAAAAAAGTAAGTGGCTATTTCTAATGGGGCCTCTGTTTCCCTACTTACACTTAGGTAAATATTTTTGAGCCTGAGTTTCAGGATTGAGTGCACTGACCTCTGCAAAGAGTACTTCTTACTGTTTCTGGCCAATTATTCTAACCTTCGAGGTATCTTTGATCCTGATCTACTTTGCAAAGTGTCACTTGTCTCTCAACTTGGCCAGTCACAAAGGAGATGAGCACGTCTTCTATGCTTCTATTCAAGTCATTAGTGCAGAAAGATGCCCACAGCCTGGGGATGCCCACACCTGTTTAATAGTTTGGGCTCTTAAATGAGCCATAGCACGTCTGGGGTCCTGCTAACTCATTAGTCTGATAACTTTGCCTTCGAAAGAAAATGACTTTGTGTTAACCTGGCCCACTTATGGCGACTCTCTCAACATGGTTTCAGCAACTGCCGTTTTCCTGAAGGGCTCATGGAGAACCCAGGATCAGAATTCACACGAGGAGTGACATTATCTGTGGGTAGTAGGACTGTTATCTTGTCTGAAGCCCTGGGAGGAGGGGGTTAGGGTCTGGTTTAGGAAGGAGGAGAGGGAGGGGAGGGCACTGGGGTTGGGACGGAAGGGCCAGCGGGCACCTCAGTGGGTGGGCACCCCATTATGCTGCCCACCCTGGGCCAGCTTGTGGGCTGGGTGCAGGGCGGGGGGCGAGGGTAGGGCAGGGGTGCACGGTGCTGACCCACAGACTTCTCGGTGGAGTATGGAAAAAAGGAAGGAATTTACTAGCTTAACTCTCTCTCTGTCTCTCTTAAATTTAATACTTTTCAATCAACAAACACATCTAATTTTTATTCATCTTTCTTCAGATTTCCTGTGTTTGTGCTGGTAGCCTCCAGTCAGTCCTGGTGGATGTTCCTGGGCTGTGTGTCTTTCACAGTGATCTCCTCTGGTCCCCCTGGAGCACCTGTGGGTCTTATCGCCGCCTCTTCCGCACAGACGGGCAAGCTGAGGCTTGCAGGTGCCACCAGCCGCTGGGCGGTCCCACGGCAGGAGCTGGAGTCGCCCTCCTCCTGGGCCCTGCCTGAGTCCTCCCTGCCTTCCTCCCACCGTGTGGGGCTGCAGCCCTTCCACACGGCCCTCAGAGCCGTCTCCTGCCCTCTGGGCTCATTCCCATCCAGGCCTCCTCATTGCGCGAGCCTGCCAGGACACGGGCAGCAAGGCCCGGTTCCTGCCTGTCACGTGGAAGGTGGCTCTTAGTCTCGATCCCACTTCTTTGCTTCGACAAGCCCTGACGTGCCACGGTCCCCTACCCCACTATTTCCAGTTCTCCCCCGTCACTGTTGGTGTTTCTTTTCTGGTCATAATTAGGTTGAGAACAGTGATCGCTTCCAAAGCTTCTCTGCACCTCTGAGTCTAAAATTGGCAGCTGGGCGAAATGGGGACCATCTCTGGGGTGCTGCTCTGAGCACAGCGAGTGTTTCGGCAGATGCTCAGTAAACAAACTCCTGCTAAAAACGCAGATGCTTTGCCTAGGGATCACTTTCACTCTTACAGGGAGTCTGTGATCTCAATTATTGAATTGTCTGAGTGTGTGTGTGCGCGCATGTGCGCTGGGGTCACAGTTGTGGGGCGCTGCCTGCCCTAGATCCCTGGCGCCTTGAAGTTTTCCAAGCCGGGCATGGACGTGTAAGAAAGGCACCAGCAGCACGGCATCCGTGTGTCTGATAACTGACTGGACCAGCCTAAGCGAAGCCTGAGCTGAAAGATGCCTGTCTGACTTTAAAACAGATTCCCCCGTGATATTTCCAGCCCAACAAAACTGAGTATTACCTCTGTTTTTCTTATTCCCTGCCTGCTTCAGGTGCCTTTCAAACAGGGAAAATGGTCATAGTAAGATTAAAAAAAGATAAAGAGTAAAGTAGAGAAGCACAGAGAAGGTGTGGAAGCAAACACGCTGCAAGGAGCTGCTCTTGCATGTGGCGTGACTGTGTGGTTTCTGCGCGATGGCACTCGGGACCTCCCCGTTGGGTGAAAAGAGGTGTACACAAGTTTTAAGAAAATGTTTGCCTTGGGGCTAAATTCTAAGAGATGCATGGAACGTGATCCTGCTTGGGGACCACGGGTGATGCTGAGATGGTGGCTAAGGCCAGGGTTCCATTGCAGGTGCAGAGGGACCCTCACCAGCCAGTTCTGGTGCCCACACGAGACCAGGATCAATGATCCCAATTTAAGGAAAACTTCCACAGAAGCCCGTTTTACAGAACTGATCAAAGAGGGGCCTCCCAAATCAAAGCAAAGGGTGGATGTGCATACCCCCCCCACTCCTGCTTCCTCTTTGAAACCCTCTCTCAACCAAAGGCATCCACCTTCCCTTAGAGACCACGATGGAAACAGTGGAATAAGGAAATCTTTCCCAAGGTACATCTGTACCACATAAGTCCCTTGTGGAAAAAGGGGTTTTGGTTAATTATGTGTGAAAACAACATCTCTCTCAGAGATTCAAAATGTACGTCAGCATATTAGATTACCTAACCATTTGTGATGGTTAATTTGTATGTCTATATGTGTGGGCCGTGGTACCCAGACATTTGGTCTAATGCCAATCCGAATGTCCCTGTGAAGTTATTTCTTAGATGAGATTCACATTGAAATCAGCAGATTTTGAGCAGATTACTCTCTGTGATGTGGGTGGGCCTTGTCCAATCAGTTGAAGGACTGAGGTGACCCCAGGGCGAGGGAATTCCTCCTTCAGACAGCTGCTGGGGCTAAGCTGCCATGTCAGCTCCGGGCCTCCTGATGCCGGCTGACCCTGCAGAGTTTGGTCTCGCCAAGCTCCACGATTGAGAGAGCCAGTTCCTTAAAAAAATCTCCCAGAATATGCACATCCTGTTGGTTCTCTTTCTCTGGGGAACCCCCATTAATCCCTTCTGCTATTTCTTAATGATTTGGGGGCATTTTATGGCATTATATGAAGGCATCTGACGAGTTCTCCCTGTTGACAAGGCTCCTGATAAGGGAACAGTAACTTCTGTTCACAGAGGGTCTTGCTTGGTCTGAACAATTTTGCAGTAATCACACCCATCAGAGTATAAACACAACAGGAAGTCTTTTTTTTTCCTTTTTTATATTCTGCTTTATAATTTTTCTTATTACAAAGATGGTTAATCAAAAGTCATTGCTAGGCAGAGACGCAGCCCTGGCCCTTTCACGGAGGGAACAGTGAGGCACCAGACACTAGCACAGCTGTCCTCAGCCCCTCCTTTTCACTTGGTTTGCTTTTTCTTTTCAAAAATGATAACAGGCTTGGAAATCTGGTTTTCAATTTTGGAGATGGAGGAGAAAAAAATAGTTCACGCTGATGCCAATGAAAAATGAAAACTGATAATCTGAGAGCAAAGGCTAAGACTTAATGTCAGGAGGGAGAGGGTCTTCTCCTGAGAGCATTGTGGGTGGAGGGCGGACGCTAGTCCTGAGCAGCTCCCAAGCCATCACAGAGGGCAGGCTGCTTACAGAGTCAGGGAATGACGTGCACATTTTAGAAACCTTTCCATTCAAAGTGTTTGAAATGGAACAGAGGTTTGGAATCCATGAAACTGCAGGTGAATCCTCAGCGTTTTGGGAAAATGGGCCTTCAAGGGGCTCGTCATCAGGGGAGCTCTGAGTCCGGGGGCCGCACATCTCAGCTCTAGTCACGTCTGACCCTCGTGCTTTGACACAGGTTCTCTCCAGTGCCCCGACGGTGGCTTTGTCTCGAAGGCGTGATGGGGACGTTCTTTGTCTGCTGCTCAAGTTCCCTGAGGATGGAAAGTCTGGGTCTGCAGCGAGGGAGCTGTGCCGCCTGCCCGGGGCCCGAGTGTTTTCCCTGATTGTGCTGATGGGTCGGAACCTGGACCTGCGGAATTTCGTATACAAAGTAAGGGGAAGATGGCTGCGGGCCGGGATCGGCCAGTGGGGCCCGTGGGGATGAGTTGGGGGCAGCAGGGCAGGCGCAGACCCCGCAGCCTCGGGGTGGGGCTCGGAATCAAGGGGTGTCCGGGAGACTTTCCAGGGTCCTTGGAGTCAATGTGCTCAATGGGGAAGGACCAGCGATCAAAGTCCCCACCTGAGCCCAGCACCAGGTTCCCTCCTCTTTGACCAGCACTTGACTGGAGTTTACCTGGGAGGCTGGCTTCCGCTGTGGCCCCCGCCCCAACTCCCCGGTGGCCCCTCTGAGTCAGAGCTGCTCCCCCGCCTTGGCCGTGGCCGCCTCTGCCCCCTGTCATGTCCTGGGGCCCGCGAGCTCTGTCCCAAGAGGGGACGTGCTCACCTTTGCCGGGGCCTGTCCGGGAGAGGGGTGCAGATGGGGGGGGACATGGGGCAGCCCCTCCCTGGGTGAACCAACTGTTCCCTGCCCTCCACATGCCCACACGCACGTGGGTGTGCGGGAAGGGGCTGAAGTGGCCGCGGGGACAGCTGCCCCGAGGGCAGGCCCAGTTACCCTCTGCAGACAGGAGCTGCACCCTGGGCTGCACGCCGGCTCTGCCTCTTCTCGAAGTCCCTCATCTTCCAGCCTCCACTGTTGGAATCATTACCTGTGTCTCCAGACCCTTCACCTTCGAGCTTAGGGGCTGTCTTGCTCCAGGTTTCTCCCCAGGGATGGATTTGCCAACACCTGGGCTCATCAGCGAGGGCTTCAGTGCCCCACATCCGGGAGGACAGTTTGGGGACTCAGGAAAAGGGTAGATCTGCCCTTCCAGCCCAGTGTCCTTCATGGTCTCCCTCTCCTCAATAACTTCAGGAATCCAGTGGGTGATATACACGCTGAGAACAGAGATTAATTTTCAGAATGAGAATTAATTCTGAAAATTCAGAATTTTCATTTCCAACCCATAAGCAGGAGGATGAACGTTTCCTAAACGTCCCCATGCTCTGCAAGGCCACGTGCCTCGTGGTGGGATCCGTGCCTGCAGCTCACACACAGGCCAGTGAGTCCTGCATCCACTCCCATGGCCACTCTTCCGCTTCACCGCGGGCACCCCTGGCGGCCAGGTCTGTTAGGTCCACAGAAGCCACCGGCTTGACACTGGTGCTTCTCAGGCCCCGATAATGACTTTGACAAAGGGCCGAAAAGATGAGACACTGGGTTGGAGTTGGTCTCCCACACACAATGGAATCGACACCTCCGTTAATAACACCGTCTCCTCCTATCCGCGTGGCTCCAGGGAAGCTGATGGGTACGCGGTGTTGCTCAGAGGTGTCAGCCGTGAAGACACACTCGGGGGGCCACACCAGCGCTGGGGTCCAGCAGGCTGGGCTCACTCCCAGCTTCCCTCGGCTGGTAGTGAATCTGTGATGCCTTTCACAAAGCACAATTCCAGGTTAACGTCCAGTGCGTTCCTCTGGCCGTCAGTGCTGGGACTCCATGCAGGTCATTCCCATCGGTCGGTGCCCCGAGGGCCACTGCTGATGTGCAGCTGCAGTTAGAAAGGCGAGTGGGAAAGCGATAGGAGCCTGCACCCCTGGCTTCTGCCAAGGAGGCTGTTGCCTTAACTGACGACACGGGCACATCATTGTGTGCAGAGAGAGTGAGAGATGGAGTAGGGGTCTCGGTCCTGCAGGTCAAGGGCAGAGCCAGCAGCTGAGGGGCAGGTGCAGAACCCTAAGGGCCCAAGTTTGAAAACCTGGACATTCAGAATGCAGATGAAAGCAGGGGGGAGGGTGGCTGTGAGTCCTCCCCACTCTGTGGGAAGGGGCAGTGTGTGCTAATTTACCCATTCATCCAACACGTATTTCCTAAGCAACTATAATGGTATTTTTTGGAAATGTTTATTGATTTTTTGTTATATTATTACTATTTTTTAATAGGTCTTTATTGGAGTATAATTGCTTTACAAAGTTGTTAATTTCTGCTGTATAACAAAGTGAATCAGCTATACATATGCATATATCCCCATGTCTCCTCCCTCTTTCATCTCCCTCCCACCCATCCTCCCTATCCCACCCCTCTAGGTGGTCACAAAGCACCGAGCTGATCTCCCTGTGCTATGTGGCTGCTTCCCACTAGCTATCTATTTTCCATTTGGTAGTGTATATATGTCCATGCCACTCTCTCACTTCGTCCCAGCTTTCCCTTCCCCTACCCCGGGGCGTCAAGTCCATTCTCTACATCTGCGTCTTTATTCCTGCCCTGCAACTAGGTTCATCAGAACCATATATATATTTTTTAGACTCCATATATATGTGTTAGCATACGGTATTTGTTTTTCTCTTTCTGACTTACTTCACTCTGTATGACAGACTCTAGGTCCATGCACCTCACTACAAATAACTCAATTTTGTTTCTTTTTATGGCTGAGTAATATTCCACTGTATATATGTGCCACATCTTCTTTATCCATTCATCTGTCGATGGACATTTGGGTTGGTTCCATGTCCTGGCTATTGTAAATAGAGCTGCAATGAACATTGTGGTGCATGTGTCTTTTTGAATTATGGTTTTCTCTGGGTATATGCCCAGGAGTGGGATTGCTGGGTCATATGGTAGTTCTGTTTTTAGTTTTTTGAGGAACCTCCATACTGTTCTCCGTAGTTGTTATATCAATTTACACTCCCACCAATGGTGTAAGTGGGCTCCCTTTGGAAATGTTTATTAATTGATTGACATTTTCTCATAACAGAATCTTTTCTTTAATTTTTAAATCTTTTAAATTGAATTATAGTTGATTTATAATATTGTGTTAGTTTCAGGTGTAGAGCAAAGTTATTCACTTACACATCCATACATATCTATTTTTTCAGATTCTTTCACCTTACAGGTTATAACAAAATATTGAGTAGAGCTCCCTGTGCTAAGCAAGCAGTATTGCCAGAGGCCGTTCTCACAGCTGTGGCCACATCAATGACCATGACAGGCAAAAATCCCTGCCTGTCCCCGAACAGAGAGGATGCAGTGAATAAGTAAAACACAGAGTGTGTCAGTGGTGACAGCACAGGTGGGTCCCAGCATCCGGAGCCACTGATACTTCTAAAGCACCAGGGTGCATTCCTGGCCCTAATCTTCCAGCTGGTGATGGTGCGGGAAGCCTTTGAAGCTCTCTGAGCTCAGTTCCTTCATCCACAAAATCAGCAGCGGCACACAGCCCACAGGGGTTCAGAGGACGGGAGGATGTGTGCGCTGTGACACAGGGAAACCGTAGGTAGATGGAAACTGTTTCACACATAAGAATCATTTTATTGTGACCCTCTTCAGTAGCCACTCCGGGCACCTCAAAGACAGAAAAAATTGTTTGAAAGTGATTTGACTTTTAACAGCCAGTCATATCTGCTCCTGGCATGTTCTGACGATACCAATATGGTTGAGCGTGCTCCCAGAACGGAGCCAGTAGAGAGGGCTTTATACGGCACAGCAGAGGTGTCTCCCAGGCTCAAGAGAATAAAATCAAATAATGCTCTTCATTCTCTGCCCTGCTCCAGCGATGCTTGTGAGGCACCACGTCCAGCACTGGTTAGGTCGTGTTGTGTTTCCCTTGGAGACTCTGCTCCCTGCGGAAGCCAGTGGCCTGCTCAGCTCCCTGCTGGACGTCGGGTCCAGCCTCGGCCACCTGCTCCCCGGAGCCGGCTGCGTCCTCGAACACCTTCCCAAATTCCTCCGATAACTTGAGAGCGCTGCTTTCCTGGACACGCCCAACTTCCCACAGGTGGGCGCTTGGCCTTGGCCCCGGGGAAGGTGCGGATTTGCTGTGTCTGTGTGTTTGCTCCTCTGCCTTCCTTTCTCTTCCACTGTCTAAAGTGCGCATGTGGTGACAAAGCACAGGGACGAGGATACCTCGTGGTTCTGGAGTGGTTCTGGAGGCAGCAGCCTGACGAGGAGCAAGGCCTGGGGTCCCCTGCAGAGGAAGCGGGACGCACAAGCACCCACGTGGAGGTGGCAGTTCAGGCGTTCTCTGTGATGTCAGAAGTCACTGGATGGACTACCCTCACAGAGGAGATTCCAGGGGCCTGTTTAACTGAACTCAGAGAGTACCTCGCTTTCAGAAAGCTTAATACGTTTATTTGCACACAAGTAATTGGCTTGCAGATTACAGATCGTTTGCTGCGAATACAAACTCGAAGTTGAATGAGGTCAGTAGCCAGATGTTCGTTGTGCCTGGACTCTCTCTGCCTGGAATGGAGTTGGTGGGGAAGGGGGTTGTGTGTGGGGCCTGTGAAGGGCGAGGCACAGGGTGAGGGGCGGATGGTGCATCCTCGGACCTGCCTCGGACGCGGGACATGGGGTGTTCATTCAGCTGAGGGGTGAGTTGAGAGCCCTCGGGTATCTGGGAAATTTAGCTGTAGATATTCATACTATTAATTAGTCTGAGTTAGTGGTACTTTATGGATTAATGATTTATCACTGGACAGACAGCAGAGATTTGCCGGTATGTGTGTGTGAGTGTGAGACATTTGTCTCTTCAACCGTATAGACCAGAAAAATCACTGCTGTGATTTGCATAGCATTTCAAGGACAGAAGGACTGTCGCTGAGATTTCGTACTTTTGACTTGGTGACAATCTTATATAATCAGTTGGAGGAGGGACCGAAGTTTCAGGAGCCTGGGAGGGAGTCCCTCTAAGTCACTGTTTGCCTGTGGTTTATTTTTCTTATGTTCTCAGGCATCAGCCTTTGGTCCTTTCCAGTCTGTGATGAAGGTGGTTTGCAAGGACCAAGCCTCTTTCTTTAGGAACTCTGACATCTTTCTTCACTTGCCTAGAGTTAATGAATTTTTAGGAGACGACAAGGAAAAATTCAACATTCCTGAAGATTCAAGTAAGAAAACTGTAATCCATATTTGTTTAGATTAATTTGCATTTTGATAATTAGCCCTGCTTTGTACAAGATATTCTGTCTGTGTAGAAAGTGGGTACATATGAGCAAAGAATTTCCTACCTGCACCCTCTAACCTGTATCCTTCGTTTTCTGTAAGGTCAGCAAATGCTGGCGTCGCAGTTGGATTTGAAAGACCCCTGCACCCTTGGGCACGGGCTAATTCTCTCACCTGTGACACCGAGGAACTGGGTCTTAAATTCCAGTGCACCTGAAGCCCCAGCCTTTTTGGGACCCCTGGGTAGCCAGTAACAGTGAGAGGTCCGGGCCCGGAGACCAGGGGCAGCATTTTGGTTCTTGCAGAATGGCTGTCTCACAACCAGGAGAGCCATACGTGGTCCCCTACAGATTTGCCTTCTATATAATGCTTCCTAGCAAATAACAGCAGACTTAAAGGTGATGCCCTGGCCCCACTGTAAGTTGGTGCATTTTGATTAGGAAGAGAGACGAAACGCACAGCTAAGGGTTTGGGTTTAGACTGCTCAGCCCCACCAACAAGTTGTGTGTCTTCGGTCCTGTGACATCACGTCCCTGAATCATGTTCATCTCATGTATGACATGGAAACGTAGTACCTGCCTTGTAAGGTTGTTGTGAGGAGTGATGGGGGTGATATCTACCGACTGTTGAGGACGGTGGTACGGTTGTGTCCTAGTGTATTAATCACTCTTCTGTGCTGTACGGCAAGTCAGTGGTTTAGGACACACACTTATCATCTCATGGTCTCTGTAGGTCACAGTCTGAGCACTGATTAGCTGGGTCCTCTCTTGGGATTGCATGAGGCTGAAGTGAAGGTGATGGCCAGGGCTGGGGTCTCATTGGAGGTAGTTGTTGGTAGAATTCAGTTCCTTGCAGCTGCAGAACCCCAGGAGGCTGTGTCTTCAAGGACAGCAGAGTATCTCTTTGATTCTGAGGCTTCTGGTCTCTTAAAGGGTTTAGCTGATGGCTCAACCAGGATAACCTCCACTTTGATCAACTCCAAGTCGGAATCCCTGCGCCGTGGCCGTGTAGCCTAACCAGGGGTGTGGCGTCCATCATATCTACAGGTTCTATCTGCAGAACAAGGCTACGAGGCTGTCTTAGACTTCTGCCTGCTATACCCAAGACACCTCTTTATATACCTGTGCCTGGGATGGACAGACGTGTTGGTGGGACCAGGGAGAAGGAGAGAGGGGAATTATGTAGAGATGGGACTGTAGGGTGTCCTCAGAGCTGCCCTAGAGACAGTGTGTTGGTGTGTTCATCAGCTGATGGATAATTTGGAGAGCTGTCGAACAAAATATAATGTGGCAGTATAGATACACATTAAGGCTATTCATATGGAATAATTTTGTTGTCTTCTTTCCTAATCCTTAGTTCCTCTTTTCTTCTTGCATATGGGTTTTTTGAGGATTATTAATTTGTTCATCAAATCCAATCATCCAGGTATCCATCCATCCTGCATCCATCCATCCATCCACCTATTCATCCCTCTATCTCTCCATCCATTGCTCCATCCATCCATCCATCATCTGTCAATTAATCCACCCATCCACCCATCCATCCATCCTGCATCCATCCATCCACCCACCTATTCATCCCTCTATCTTTCCATCCATTGCTCCATCCATCCATCCATCATCTGTCAATTAATCCACCCATCCACCCATCCATCCATCCACCCACCTATCCATCCTTCTATCTTTCCATCCATTGCTCCATCCATCCATCTGGTTGTTCAGCTAACACTGAGGGCCAGTTTTTCTTTGTCTTTTCATACATTTATTTCAAATGACGGTCACACGAACCATAGACAATATTAGTACCCTCATTGTTCAGGTGACACGAGAGAAGCTCAGAGAAGGTTAAGTGACTTGACCAAGTTCACAAGTGGCAGATATTGGGATTCCTGGTTTCAGATTTCTTGTTCTGTTCATATGTATGATTATGTCTTTTCCAAAGTAAAAATTGCTACCATTTATATTAAGCTTATAATTTAAAGGGTAAGTTGTTAAAATATCAGTAAGAACAACCTCTATAATTAATGCTATAAGAAGTCATTATGTAGTCATGCTCTTAATTTATATTTTACGGAATTATTTCTATCAATTTTATTGTATTTGTTGAATAAAAAGAATTTGTTTTTCTTTTCAAATGGGGAATTTAGGAAAATGAAACTGATAGTGAAAATTACCGCAACAGTAATTTTCCTACCTTGCGTGTTATGGATTGTGATATCAAAGCTAAGATAATATTTTCATTTTAAATATTCTGTTCAGGAGTAAAAGAACTGGTTATACTGAAGTATTTGTCGCTAACTGGCTTAAAACCTTTCTTACTTGATTAGTGATCGTAGTGGTGGTGAAGGCTCCACCTTCATTAGTACCTGTTGGTTTGGTTGAATAAACCTTCCAATGAAACCAACCAGCACCACAGCAGTATGAGTGCCAACATGAGGAATTGATGTTTGGTTGAAAACAAGGTGATTTAATGTAACAAAAGCAGTCAGTGCAATAGTTCTGTATAGGTGCAGCAAAGGAAATTCTGTAGCAATTTATAAAGCTAATTTCTTAAGAAAAACCTAATTCTAGTCTCAATACAGTGACTGTTGAAAAGAAGATTTTCTAGATTAAAACCAGATGCATTCCTTTTGCATTACTGTTTTAATTTTTAGGTGTCTTTGTCATTATTTAGTACTCTTACCGATGACTTGGCTTAAAAATGTGAAGGTCATACTTTCCTCTCTTTCAAATTATTGAAGGGGACATGGTATCTCAGAGTTTTGAGACAAGAGCTGCTAAAGACAAGGACAAGAAAAATTATTTCTGAACTTACTGCCCCAAATCAGAATTGAGTCATGAAAAAAATATATAAGCCACTCATCGGAAAGTGAGGCGTCATGGCTCTGTATGTGAATGTCCTTGTTATCCTGGACATCCCCAATCATGAGCAACACTTTTTTTTTTTTTAATTGTGACAGCACCCTTTTGCTTGAAGCTTTATCAGGGAATACTACAGTCTCCAAATGGTGCTTTGGTGTGGTCCTTCCTAAAACCTGTATTACATGGAAGAATACTGTACACACCAAACACTCCAGAGATTAATAAGGTCATTAGAAAGGTGAGTTTGAATGAATGAGGGTGTTACAGACCATACAAGCAGTACAGTGGGAAGCAGCCTGTTAAAATATTTAACGTGATTGTTGTATAGCTTGGGTGACACACAGTTTTCTTGTGCTGATTACAATTTATTTTCCCCTGGGTATTTTTTTCCTGTTCGTGTCGTTGTTGAACTCGGACATGCCGCCTCGTTCTCTCAGAGGACATTTTGGGGGCAGGAGGTGTTATTTGGAGTAAGTAATGCAGGGAGGACACTTAGACAAAGGAGGCCGGTTCAGGTGGTCCCAGGAAGATGTGGAGAACAGATGCGCATCTGTTTTGCTTGGTGCATCTGGTGGTGAAGGAGGAGTCTGACCCAGTGTTCGTGGTCTGGGTCTGGTAGTGACATTTCCCAAGGCGGCGGCGAGGCTTTGCCGGCCTCATCTGTGGCGGGTGAGCCCAGGTGAAGAAGCCAAAGAGCTTCCCTGGAGGCGTCTGGACATGGCACAGCTCTGCATGTTTTCCCTTCCTTATGTTTCTTACCTTCTCAAACCCGTCAGCTTCAGGATTTATCATCGTTCATATTTGCACTTTCTTTTGACATGGTGGTGCTGTGTCTTCCCAGGGTCTTCTCTCCTTGTCTGACGGTGGCTCATGAGCCTGCAGGCACCTTTGAGGGACTTCAGGAGGCCATGGGGTCTGTCAAAACCAGAGGAGGAGACATCAAGCCCTATTAATGCTAAACTTCCGAGCTTCAAATAGTAGTAACAACTTAAAAGCTAAAAAGTTGGCGATGGGGTGTGGTCATCCGAGCAGTTGGGTTATTTTTGTCTAAGTAGATTTTACAGGTTCACATTTCCTGCCCTTGTGGTTGCCACGTGGCCTCTTGCTTCCTGCCTGGGACTTAGCTCAGGGGCTGTATTTGCCTCAGTTTATTCTGAATGTGCTTAATAACTTCTGCTTTATCTTGGGACTGTCCATTTGGACTGGGCTGTCACAGTGAAATGACATTAATCTAGACGTATGTCAGGAGCTCATCCTTCCAGGGCTGGGCTTCCGAGGGGCCTGGAGCCAAAGCCAGTGTCGTTCCGATGATCTCCCTGCGTTAAGCTTGCAAGGGCTGTGGGAGGTTCAGAAATTTCGCAGAAAATGGCTCTGTAGCACGGCTTTATTTTAGATTCAAATTAAAAAATGGGCCATGACTTTATTATTATTATATTATGTATTATTACACAAAGACATTATTGATGATATATAAAATGTACTGTAGGATTATATACCGTGCTATATTCTGTGATACAACAGTTAGTATGACAGTCTTGCTTTTGAGGAGCTCACCCTGCGGTGGGGAAAGAGAAGACAAACATCTGAAGAAATAATTCAGAACTAACGTGATCGCTCAGTGTGGCACAGGGCACAGGAGGTGAGCTTCCAGTCCCCCTGGAAAGGAGGGTTTAGAAAAGCCTTCCAAGGGAGGGCATGTGCAGGCCTCCATGGGGGCGGGAGGAGGGGGCTTGGCCACGACAGGGATGTGGCAGTGAGTGTGCCCCGTGCGTTCTGAGAATGACGGAAGTTTTGGAAGAACAAGCAGACATTTCCCTGGCTCTTGCTTGGTCCCCCGTACACGTCATAGGCAGTGCTGTGCGCTGGTGCCTTTTGCACGCATTCGCTGTGGCTGACGACTTTGCGTGAGGGTGTCCTGGTTTGTACGTATAAAGCTAAACTTCGTGGCGCTGGAGCCAGGCTGAATGATTCTATTTAACTTTGGGGAAACCGGTTCTGCTCATTGGACTCCCGGTCCAACGTTCCACGTGGCTGGGAGAGCCTAGAAGCTCTGCCAGCTTACGGTGTGTGAAGCACATCACCTGTCAGGGTGGAAGGGCCTGTGTTGCATGTCGTCTACTACTTGGTCTTACTCTCTCCATTACTTCCCATTAGGTGGAACCACGTGAAGTTGCCATTTTTTCGTGGGAAAAAACATGTATAAAGTTGGTCATCTCCTCTGGCTGGACCTGTAACTCTGAGGGTAAAGCACCAAGCGGCACGATGTCGTGAAGAGAAACACGTGTGCACCGGGGGTAGGCCGGGGGTGCCCCCGCACCTGTGACCTGTCCCTTGTCACCGTCCCTCTCAATAAGCCTTTTCCTCCCAGTAACACGGAGGCCGGAGGGAGAGCCCCGGTTTCTGGGAGCCACGAGCGTAGTCCGAACCTTCTCCTCCGCCAGCGCTGTTTCTGGAAAGGTGTTGCCCGCAGGGCGGTGGGGAGTGGAGGTCACGTCTGGAAGCAGGAGCAGCCGGGAGAGCCGGGGGGTGGGGGTGGGTGGTAGCTTTGCCTGCAGAGCGCCTGCCGCAGCGTCCGCCGACGCTCCTGTCCCCGCCCACAGCCGGGGCTCGCTGCCGGCATCTGGGGTGGAGCCCAGGGAGGCCGGCGGCTGCCCCACGGGCGCGGGGCGGGCCCTCAGCGGGGAAGGTCGGCGTGCTGAGGCTGAGGGACGCCGGAACGAAAGGGCTTGTCGGGCTGGATGGGGCCCCGGGGAGCAGACGGACAGAGCAGGGGCGCGGGCCGGGGGGTGCTGGGCTGGCGCGCGCCGGCTGCGCCCTCCCGGGGGCAGTGCTGCGCCGGGGCTGGGGGCCGGCGGGCGGCCTAGGGCAGAGGGGCCTCGGCCTCACTCTGGTGTGTGTCTGGAGGAGGGGCGGCCGCTGGTCCCGAGCCCACGGGTGGCCCAAGCGCAGGGCTCAGGCGGGAGGGGGAGACGGGGGGCGTGAGATAGGCCTCCCCTGAGGACCTGCTGTGGCTGGGCAAGGCCGGGCAGGCGGCTGCATGGGAGGCCAGGCCTCCCAGGGGCCGCTCCCGCGGGTGAGGCCGGCGGCCCCCTCAGCGGCCAGACAGGGGCCCTGTCTGTCTGGCACATGCATGAAATGAAAAATACGCAGCTTACAAAAAAGACTGGTCTAGATATAGACTGGCCTCCAGGACTTACTGTTAACTGTATTTCAGGGTGGTGGGGAGGAGCGTGGAGTGTCCCAGTGACGAAAAGCGGGTCACACACGTGGGCACCTGTGCTCCTAAGTGTACAGACAGCTTCAGGACGACGTCCAGGGAGCTGCTGGCAGCGCTTCCTCTGCGTTTGGAGCATGGTTCCTGGGGCGCTGAGTGGAAAGGGGGTCGAGCTTTTCACGAAGCCCTTTGAACACTCGGAATCGGCTAGAAGCAGCAAGATATGCACGTCTGACAGCGTCCTGGGAAGTCTTTCCATCTTGCTATCTTGTGTGGCGGTGGATTGGCGTGTCAGCGGGGAGGAGGCAGAGCGCCGCGTGTGTGCTTTGTCGCCCTGAAGATGCGGCCAGGCTGCTCCACCGAGATGCCCAGTCCAGCCGGCCCTCTGTTCTGGGGAAAGTCAGGCCCAGGTCCCTTTGTTTCTGGGGCCTCAGGGCGACCTTCCTCTCTTCTCCCAATCCTGCCGAGATGCGGAGGGAGGACCTCTTTAGAGAGAAATGGGCTGTGGGGAAGGGGCTCTTCCCTCCCGGGTTCTGCCCTTCCTGATTCTGGCCAGGTCAGAAAAAAATCCTTTCTTTTATTTAAATCTTCAGATTCCTCTATCTCATTCCCCTAGCAATAAGCAAATGGTCTGAATGCTGAGGAGGGTGATATAAATAAGAAAATGATGAATACAACAGAAAAAATAAACCCATAGCTAAGATCTTATGCTCTGACCCAGTCACCTTCTACTTTCTTTTTTTTTTTTAAACAAAAATGAGCTGTAAGGAAAAGAGGCTTAGGGCATTTTCTAAAATCAGCAGTTATTAGGTGGTATGTAGGTGAAAACAGAGCCCAAGTAGTTTCTCCCAGTGATATAAAAGTGAAGACAAGACTTGAGGTTGTGGCATCTCTGAGATTTGTGCCCCAGTTCTGGGTGGGGCTCTGAGCTCTGTGTGCGTTGTCTCCCTATAATCTTCTGAAGGTTTTTCTCAAGTTCTTGATTCTGTAAATTTTTGTATTTCACCAGTTTGGGGAAGTTTTCAGCTGTTACTTATTCTAATAGCCTTTCAGCCCTACTCTGTTTCTCCTGTCTTTCTGGGACTCAAAAGTTATGAACGTGGACTCCTAGTATTGTCCTGCAGGTCCCTGAAGCTCTGGTTACTTTGTCGTCTGTTTTTCCTCTTGCTCAGATTGGGTGAAGTGTACTGACCTGTCCTCAAGTTCACTGGTTCTGTCCTCTGTCATTTCTACTTGAGACCATCCAGCAAGTTTAAAACACTTTCTGTTATGGCATTTTTCAGTTCCGTATTACCCTGTGCTTAGCTGTCTTTTTAATAACTTGTATTTCTTTGTTGAACTTTTCTGCTACTTAATTTGTTTCAAGACAGTTTTTAATTGCTTGTTGAAGTATTTCTATGATGACGGCTTTAAAATACTTGCCAGATCATTCCAACATCAGATTTATCTCAATATTGACATCGGTTGATTCTTGTGAGTTCTCTGGTTCTTTGTATGGTGGGTGATGTTCAGTTGTATTGTGGGCATGTTGGCTATAAGAAAACCTTTCATTTTTGCAGACAGTCTCCTGTTCAGGTTTAACACACAGGTCTCAGCGTCCTTTGCGGGCTGTGGTTCCCAGGACAGTTTAATCATCACAGGCTTTGTGCTGTTATTTTGATCTGCTTGGTTCCTCTGGTGCCGCTGAAGCTTCCACGGGTTCCCGGTGCTGCTGCCTGAGGGGCAGAGGGGTTTCTCCAGGAAGTTTGTGCCTCTTAATCCCCTTCACCTGTTTCACTGGAGACTACCAGTTTGTTCTCTGAATCTATGAGTCTGTTTCAGTTCTGTTACGGTGGTTCATTTGTTTAATTTTTTAGATTCCATATATAAGTGATACCATATGGTATTTGTCTTTCTCTGTCTGACTTATTTCATTTAGTATGACAATCTCTAGGTCCATCCATGTTGCTGCAAATGGCAAGATTTCGTTCTTTTTTATGGCTGAGTAATATTCCACTGTATATATGTACCACATCTTCTTTATCCATTCATCTGTCGATGGACACTTAGGTTGCTTCCATGTCCTGGCTATTGTAAATAGTGCTGCAATGAACATTGGGGTGCACGTGTCTTTTCAAAGCAGTGTTTAAGTAACTTGGCTAAGACCACCAAGCGAATAACCCGGAGTGGGGAGGCCTTGTTCACCACTTCGTTTTTAAGTGCTCTCGTGCGATCTCTCAGAGGCTCAGTGCAGTGCATATATTCATGTTGTCTACTGTTCAGTTCTTACAAAATTCTGCCTTATTTCTAGTCATATTTACTTTGTATCTTTTAATGATGTATTACTGTGTGTAGAAATATTAGTCACTGTAAATTCTGAATTTATTTCAGAATAAAATGATCGTTATTCCATTTATCCTTTTTGCAATGAATTTGATTTTTTTACTGTTGACATTTCTAGCTTTTATGTTTTTGCTTGATTTTTGAGATCTTTTGTTTTTGATTCAGTATAGAAATACAGTTGGCTGTGATAGTTTTGTCTCTGCCATGTAACATAACCTTAATTAAGAAAAGCGTTTTATTTCGTTCATAGCTATAATTTTAGCACCTACACTTATGCCTGGCTGAAGGACCTTTGGTAAATATTTATTGAGTAACTTGACGGGATGGGTCTGAAAATCTTAGCCTTTGAATTACGATATTTTAACCTACTTGAGTTCTTTTCATAACTCTGACAAGCTTAGAGCTATTTTGTCATCCTCCTCTATAGTTTTGAAATTTATACCTGTCCTGGTGATTACCGTTTTTCCTCTCTTTTGCCAGAAGAATTTGTTCTGTAGGGTCTCTTTTCCTCCTTTGTTTTCTGTCTACTGTTTTTTAATGTCATGTCTGTCCTCTTCCCAGTTATCAATGCCCAGACTCACTTCTTTCTTACGTGAGAACCTTTGCTGTCACTCCATCCTCTCCTCCCGCACCATGGCTATCTTGTATTGATAGAGTCTGAAACCAGTCAGACACATTAACAATCATCAGAGTGAGCAGCTGGTGTTTATAATTTTACTGTAACTTTTCTATTATAATTTTTTTCTTTCAAGAATTATTATTGGCATTTGGATTCAATTCAGAACCTTGCTCACCATTATTTAAAATTAATTCTCTGTTTGAGTGGTTTCATGGCTCTTCATCATTTCAGTGTTCTCATATTGATTTAACTGTTTACTCAGGTGTGTTCAGGTAACTGTTTCAGGAGCATTCGTAGGTAGCATCATTTCTTTGTCCTTGGATATCTGAGGTCCTCACCTTTGCACCATAGCTCAGCTGGACATAAGCATTCCTGGCTTATGTTATTTCTCCCTGAAAACTCAGTAGATTCTGCTGCATTGTCTACTGACCTTTAATTTTGCAGAGAAACTCTCTGAAACGACATTATTGTTTTTCCTTCTTCACAGGCTTCTTGTGTTCTCCCTGAGGCTGATATATTTATTCTTTTAATTAGAATTCCAGTTGTTACAAGGTATGCTAGCACTAGTCTCTTGTTAATATTTTTTGCTGTGTAAGAAGTGTTTATAGCACCGTTATTCACAATAGCCAAGATATGGAAGCAACCTAAGTGTCCATCAACAGATGAATAGGTAAAGAAGATGTGGTGTGTATACATATACATACATACGCATATATATCTATATAGATATAGATATAGAGATGTAGTACAATGGAATATTACTCAGCCATAAAAAAGATCAAAATTTTGCCATTTTCAACAAGGTGGATAGACTTGGAGGGCATTATGCTAAGTGAAATAATTCAGACAGAGAAAGACAAATACTGTATGATATCACTTAAATGTGGAATCTAAAAAAATGAAACTAGTGAATATAACAAAAAAGCAGACTCACAGATATAGAGAGCAAACTAGTGGTTACCAGTGGGGAGGGGAAGTGGGCAGGATGGGGTAGGGGATTAAGAGGTACAAACTCTTATGTATAAAATAAGCCACAAAGATATATTGTACAACACAGGGAATACAGCCAATATTTTACAATATCTATAAATGGAGTATAGACTTTAAAAACTGTGAATCACTATATTGTATACCTGTAACTTATATATATATTATATATATATTATATATATATATATATATATATATATATATATATATATATATATATATTGTGCAGCAACTGAACTTAAAAAAAAAGGGAAATGGTCTTCAGATTTGCACACTCAGCAGCAGTGGGTTTTCTCCCTCCTGTGATAACTGACCCTGTTCTTGGCCCCTTCTATGCTCTGGGTTCTGAATCTTGGCTTAGATCTCTTGCATCTGTCCCAGACTGTCTCTGATTTGTCCTTCTTTGTCTCGTGGCCCTCCTCTGAGGGCTGGGGCGGGGTCTCCACTGCCCCGTGTGTCCCCCTTGTTTTGATTCCCAGCCTGTGTTCAGTCTCTGGGTCTCACCGCCTCACGTGGGCTGTTTCCTCCTTGTCACCACCTCCTCTGTGCTCCTGGATGTTTCTTGAAAATACAAAGTAGATACTTTCTACATTTTCTCCTGTCTTTCATTAGGTTTATTTTGACCAGAAAGGGTCTTTTCATATGCCTCTGGTGTTTCCCTGCTTGCTCATCCTTAGCAACAGAGGATCTCACTTTTGTGGGTGGACGAGTAACACAGACGTCGAGTGAGTCCACAGCTGAGGCTCATGTGAAGGCGGAAGGGTGGCGTTTGGACAGGCTGCGGCTTTTCTTCACCGGTCAGACCCCTGGCAGCTGAGTGGGGGAGGGGCAGCAGCCGAGACAGCCGTGCCCACGAGGGGATCCGTCCTGTCCTGGGCTCGTCTTGGGAACTATAGCAGCAGGAGCCTCTCTTCTCTTTCTAGCCCCTGAGCTGGTGTGACCTGTGCCATTGTGACCCCAGGGGGGTGTGGCTGGACTCCAGACCCGCCTTAATCTTATCTCTTTGCATATAGACTGTTTTCAGTATAAAAACATAGTAACGTTGCCATAGACATCTTCATGGGTATAGCTTTGTATTTCACTTAAATGATTTCCTCAGGATGGCGTCCTTTTATTTTGAGAGAAAAAGGCAGGGGTGTTTTTTTGTAGGTCAGTGACCATAAATATTTTTTATGACACCAAATTATTTTACATAAATCTTACGCTCATTTGCTCTGCCAGCAGCCATAAATAAATAACTGCGGTTTCGTTTTATCCTAAATAGAGTTGGGCATCATAAAACAAATCGTAGATGCTAGTTGAGAATGTATTGTTGAGACGGAAGTGTGAGCAGGTGTCTTGTTTAGTCAGTGTATACTGGGGACGTCTGTTGCCCGTTAGAGTGACCTATTGGGGACACCACGGTGACCACGTGGACAGCACCTGATGGAAAGAGTCTGGGGGGAGGGCCTTGGGACGGTCACCATATCCGGGTAGGTGGCCTTGGAAGATCTCTGCTCTGATGGCTGAGCCGCACACAACACTGGTCTCCTTGTTGTAGCAGCCACAGCGCTGAAGAACTTTCCTAATGCAACAGGGCTGAGCTAGAGACGTACCCAAATCTGCTTTATCTTGCAGGCAAATCGTACTTTTGATTTTGTGGACAAGCTGAAGACTTTATCTGAAACACTGCTGAGCTTGTCCAGTGTTTTTCAGAGCAGCAGAAATGGTCAGATGCTCCGTCAACTGCAGGTGAGGGAGGGGTGACCCCTTTGCCACCGAGGGCTGGGGGAGCCCATGCTCAGGTGCGTCTGCAAAACCAGAGTGGTCCTTTAGAGGACTCTGCAGAGCCACCTGGGGCGTGGCTTGCCCAGTTGACTGGTAATGTTGACGTAAAATGGGATGTGTGCGAAAACTTTTTGTAAGTGATCAGTTGTTTTGCCCATGCAAGAGGTTACTATTGTGGGAATGATCAATAATTCATTAGTATTTATTTGTGCTTTAAATTCCATGTTAAATTAAAGCTTTTTGGGGTGGTTTTTTTTGGGTGCTTTTCAACTGTGGGTCTATTAAAACAATTATCATTCCCCAATATTCTGTACTGACAATGTAATATATTCCAAAATACGTGGGCTGTAGTTTCAAATGGCCTGACTTCTTCTCAGCAGGACAGTCATTAGTTACAAAACTTTCATCAAGGTAGATCACATGAGAACCTTTTGGGGCATGTGTGTACCTCTGGCTTAACCTGCGTCTGATAGCATGAGAAAATACAACTACATTTTTATTCTTGTTTGGCTTATTTTTAATCCACTGACCAAGTAGTTCAAGGTGGTTCCGAGCAGGGACTCAGAGCCAGATGGTCTGGGTTTGATTCCCAGCCCTGTCCCCACTGCTGTGTGATCTTGAGCTGGTCACGGAACTTCTCTGTGCCTTGGGCTTCTTACCTTTGAAGTGAGGAAATAACCATAGTTATGAGCTGTAAATTGACTTAAATTATGTAAAGCACTTGGAATAGTGTTTGGTACGTAGGAGATGCTTCTGTGTCTGGGTCCTCCCAAAAGCAGACACCGAGATGAGGTTACATGTATGAGAATTTTGTCAGGGAAAGAGCTGTTGGAGCCGAGGCTGGGGAAGCCGGGGAGGCCAGGGAGGTCTGGTCCTGAAGGGACGGGGGGTGGGGTGGGGGCTGGGTGGAAACATCCCACAGGGCCCTGCATTTAGAGGACACCTCTCATCCAGCTGAAGTCGGGTATCATGGGGGATCCTCTGTCGGGGAGCCGTGGCTCCTAGGAGTGGCCTCGGCTAAGAGCAGCCTGGGAGGTGTGGCCTCCGGGCAAACTGAGATGGATTTCAGAGCACAGCAGAGGGCCTTGGATGTTGCCGTTCCTGGAGCTGGGAGTCTGGGATGCTCATTCTCATGGTGGCCATGGCTATTATTGTTATTCTTCTTCTTTAATTTGTTTGCTCACCAGTTAATTTGCTGATACAGGGATCAGTAGGCGTTTTCTGTAATGAATCAGATGGTAAATAATTCAGGCTTTGAAAAGGGGACTGCTGTAACTACAGATAATTATATGCAGTATAATAAGCAGCAGGTTAAGTCTCTACAAAGTAGTGTGAGAACGTAACAGTGCCTAACACCGTCTCAAGAGTCAGGTGGTTAGTGGGAAGAAGGATAAATTAGGAGTTTGGGATTAACAGATGCACACTGGTATATATCTAACAGATAACCAGCAAGGATCTACTGTGTAGAACGAGGAACTTTACTCCATATCTTATAATAACCTATAATGGAAAAGAGTCTGAAAATGAATATATATATATATGAATCACTTTGCTGTACACCTGAAACTAACACAACATTGTAAATCAAACATATTGATACTTTGATAAAAAAAAGAAGCAGGTGGTTTCTTGGAGAAGTCTTCAGTTTAGCTGAGTGCTGTTTACCAAGTAGTCAAGTTAGAAATTAAAGCCACTCATTCAATCACTTGAAGAACTTTTTACTTAGAGAATGAATTGTGGTGAGTGGCTCTATTTCTTAGCATCGAGATCACATTCAAGAGTATCTGTAGTGCTCTTGGATTTGCAGTAACTGGTGCCTGGGCTCTAGGTCGGGCTCTGCCTGCAGGGGGCTAGATTAGTATTTCACTGATGCTGGCGACCCTGACTTACTTTTTCCTTCAGTTAAAAGCATCTTTCCATGGAGATGTTGCCGAGATTAAATGACTAATGCATATGAAGTGCATCACATAATGTTGGGCAAGTAGCTAGTGCCCAGTGAAAGAAGATAAATAAGATTTAAAAAAATCAGACACTGAGGTTTCATCATGAAATCTTGTCGTCTATAGACAAGAGTCAATAAAATCATCAGGTATCAGGGAGATGTGAGAAATAAAAGAGCTAAATGCAGAAGGTGGGTGTTATTGAAAATTCCTCATAAGAAGTCCCCAAGTTATACAGTTGTTTGGTAAAACAACTGTTTGCTGGGAAAACTGGACAGCTACATGTAAAAGAATGAAATTAGAACAATTCCTAACACCGTACACAAAAATAAACTCAAAATGGATTAAAGACCTAAATGTAAGGCCAGACACTATAAAACGCACAGAGGAAAACATAGGAAGAACACATTCTGACATAAATCACAGCAAGATCTTTTTTGACCCACCTCCTAGAGTAATGAGAATAAAAACAAAAATAAACAAATGGGACCTAGTGAAACTTAAAAGCTTTTGCACAGCAAAGGAAACCATAAACAAGATGAAAAGACGACCCTCAGAATGGGAGAAAATATTTGCAAACGAAGCAACTGACAAAGGATTAATCTCCAAAATATACAAACAGCTCATGCAGCTCAATATCAAAAAAACAAACAACCCAATCAAAAAATGGACGGAAGACCTAAATAGGCATTTCTCCAAAGAAGACTACAGATGGCCAACAAACACATGAAAAGGTGCTCAACGTCACCAATTGTTAGAGAAATGCAAATCAAAACTACAATGAGGTATCACCTCTCACCAGTCAGAATGGCCATCATCAGAAAATCTACAAACAATAAATGTTGGAGAGGGTGTGGAGGAAAGGGAATCCTCTTGCACTGTTGGTGGGAATGTAAATTGGTGCAGCCATTATGGAGAACAGTATGGAGATTCCTTAAAAAGCTAAAAGTAGAGCTACCATATGACCCAGCAATCCCACTACTGGGCATATACCCCGAGAAGATAATTCAAAAGGACACATGTACCCCAGTGTTCATTGCAACACTATTTACAACAGCCAGGACATGGAAACAACCTAAATGTCCATCAGCAGATGAATGGATAAAGAAGATATGGTACATATATATGATGGAATATTACTCAGCCATAAAAAGGAACGAAGTTGTGTCATTTGCAGAGATGTGGATGGACCTAGAGTCTGTCATATGGAGTGAAGTAAGACAGAAAGAGAAAAACAAATGCCATATGTTAACACCTATATGTGGAATCTGAAAAAAATGGTATAGGTGATCTTTTTTACAAAGGAGAAATAGAGACACAGACATAGAGAACAAACATATGGATACCAAGGGGGAAGGGGGAGATTGGGTTGAGTTGGGAGATTGGGATTGACCTATATACAATATTGATACTATGTATAAGGTAGATAACTAGTGAGAACCTACTGTACAGCACAGAGAACTCTACTCAATGCTCTTTGGTGACCTAAAAGGAAGGAAATCCAAAAAAGAATGGATATATATATATAAATATATAAAAATATATATATATATATATATACTATAGTGGATATATATATATATATATATATATAGAGAGAGAGAGAGAGAGAGAGAGAGAGAGGGAGAGAGAGAGAGAGAGAGCGCGAGCTGATTCACTTTGCTGACCAGCAGAAACTAACACAACATTGTAAAGCAGCTATACTCCAATAAAAATTAAAAGAAAAAGAGATCCCCCCTTTGCTTAATCCTGGCATTGGCCCCACTGCCTCTGTGTTCCACCCTCTGTAGATTGTTGCTTGCTGTGGGTACGTGGCAGCACAGTGCGGGTGTATGCGTGCCAGCTGCAGAGTTAGTATGCAAGGCGCCATCAAGCTGCTGGAGGTAATCCTGGAGAACCTTCCACAGTGCAGCCTTTGACAAATGAGGTGGAGTTGAACCACCAATAGTGAGAGAAGAAAGATACAGATGATGGTATGAAACATGCTTCCAAAGATAAGGCTTTGAACATTGCACGTTTAAGAGAGGGTGTGGGAAAATGCTGAACCTTTCATCAGCGTTCTTGTAACAGTGACCCCCTCTTTATAACCGGCCCACAGAAAAGGCAATATAAAGGATTTATGTAAAGGGTCACCATATAGTTCTATTGGAAAGTTTTACCAAAAAATTAGCACTTAATTCATTCTTTGTTTTCAATATTAGTGCATATTTATTCATACAATTATATCCCCAATTGTTCACTTTTGTTTTTCAAGATAAAGTCCTAAGCAAATGTAATCCTATTTACTGGGATGTATTAGAACCTCTTTGCACTTTTTGTGCCTTTTCCCTGTATCGTGAAACTTGGAATAAACCTAACAAGTATTATTCAACAAGAGGAATGGTGAGATTAGTCTTGTTAAACTATATTATTTTCCTTTAGGAAGCCCTGGAAAACAAATTTATAAGAAGCCTTTGTAGAAAGCCAGCTGCACATTGATGTAGACAAATGGACGGAAAAGCTCCAGACACTCGGTAAGTGCGGCGGGCGTTGTGGTGGATCCATCATCAGGCCATGAAGTTTCTGGGTGACACTGACGAGTCACTGCTTCCTCCCCCAGTTTCTGGTTTCTTGTCTTTGAGATGCAGAGCTTGAGTTCAGTATACTCCCAAGTTTGTTCATAACTGAAGTTTTCTGATTTGCTGACTCAGGGCTCGAATAGTAAGGAACTTAGTTAAAAAGGAAGGCCTCTGATGTAAATACAGGAATTGTGACTTATAACACAGTTTTATAAAAGAAATTGCTATCATTGAGTTAATAGTCAATTGAAAGCAGTTAATTGATTTGAAGATCTGAAACTTAGATAAAAAAAATTCATCAATCAGCAAACGTTTATCACATGTTTGTAGTTTATTAATCGGTGACTTCATTTAGATGTTCAACAACCATTTTCTGAACACGCAGGAGAGTCAGGCTCTGAGCGAGAATCTGGAGACCCCCAGCCCCTGTGCGGTGGTTTGGCAGGCGCATCCCAGGGATGCTTCCAGGGGGCTAGGCCAGAGGGATGGCAGAATGGAAGAAAGAAAGAGCTCCGGGAGGGAAGGAAGGGTGTCAGGCCATCTGAGGCCCCCGGCACCTGCCACTGTGCCCGCACCCAGGGCGAGGGCTGGCGTCTGCTTGGAGCACGAGGGTTAGTGGAGGGCAAGGTGATATATTAGGCACAATACTTCCCTTTATGAAAAAAAAATTTTCTGGTGAATTTACTACTTTAGAAAGTTTAATAGTATTTTAAAATAAATGTTACTGGGCTTCCCTGGTGGTGCAGTGGTTGAAAGTCCGCCTGCCGATGCAGGGGACGCGGGTGTGTGCCCCGGTCTGGGAGGATCCCACATGCCTCAGAGCGGCTGGGCCCGTGAGCCATGGCCGCTGGGCCTGCGTGTCCGGAACCTGTGTTCCGCAACGGGAGAGGCCGCAGCGGTGAGAGGCCCGCGTACCGCAAAAATAAATAAGTAAATAAATAAGTAAATAAGTAAATAAATAAATGTTACTGCCTTGAATGGTGTTTTCACGAAGTTAAAGCACACTTACAAACGCAGTAGTTCTGGAAAGCTCATTACAGCAGCGGCTGCATCCTGAGCTGTGGGGTGAGGACCAGAGGTTTTCTGTCCCGCCGCAGAGGCTCTTATTAGTCTGCACCTGCAGCCCCGCTGGCATGTCACCTCGGGGCCAGAGGGCTCAGGGATCCTCCAGCTCCTCGCTGAGAACGCACACCACCTTTGAACAGGTTTTCCCTCATGTAAACTTCTATTATAAAGTTCGCGGGAAAAACAGTAACAGAAATTCAGACACTGAGCTTTTCCTACAAATGTGTCTGGACCCAGAGTGTGGGATTCAGATGGAATTTTGAGACCTGTGAGGTGTGATTCCTCCCTTCTCACTGCTCCACCCAAGGTGAAGCCCCTCTTGTTGAGGTGGAGAATGATGGTCATCTTCCATCTGACTCTGCACAGCCCTCTGGGAGCAGGCCAGGTGTGAACACAGGCCTGTCCATGGCGCAGGTGTGCCGGGGGCTTGGGCACCCTCTAGATGCACATCTCCTTTTGTAACTCCCTGGTTAAAGAGTTAACTCACCTTGCTCTGGGCATCCTTCTGAAATTGCCTATTCCTAGTCGCTGGAGACTGGGGCAGAATGACTACTTGAAGGTACGTTAATGCGGTTCCTGGGAATGTTTACCCAATCATGCTTTTGTTTTTCTTGATTATTTAACTTTTAAAAAATAACTTTTTGCTTATTACAGAAGTAATTGTCTGTTGTGGAAGTGATAGAACATACAAATAAACCAGAAAAGCAATCTACCCATAATCTCATCCTCAGAGACAGTCATTGTAAAAGCCTTGGAGTAATTTTTCAGAAGTAATTATATGGCTTATATGAACTTAGGTGCATGTATTTTTGTAAAAATGGTCATACTGTCCATATCATTTTGTAAACTGTTCATAGAAATTGGCTCTGTTACTGAGGGTCCCTAGCGTGAACTGCTTTAAACTTGTGTAACTGTTTCTTCTGGATTGGTTGCTACATCTTTGAACACTGTGCTTACACTAGTGTTTCTCGATCTATTCATTTTAGGAATAATCATTGATTTCTCCAGGTCATTTTCCCCGCCCCATGAAGGTTATGTGTCCATTTTAGTTACGTCGTGAAGCGTTGGGACTGGATACATGTCACCCAATGCAGAGCCACGTGGTACATAGAATGAAATTTCCTTTTCCCAGGGTTCCCCTTCCCCAGAGGTTCGTGTTACCTTCTTCTCAGGTGTAACATTTGCTGTCCATTCGCCCACCCCTACCCCCAGTTTGCCAACATGTCCCCTTGACTTGGGGTCCTTTTGTTCATGCAGACACCCAGCCAGGCCCCCCCCTCCCCTCCCACGGGGCCGGCCTACCTCTGTGTCCGTCTCTTCTCCCACACTGGAGGCTACGTTTCCTACCTTCTCCATCCTCCCATTTTTCTTTATTACCATGTTTTCTTGCTTCATATTCAGAATTATGGAAAAGGGTGTGTGAGAGGAAAATTTCCTGAGTAATTTTACTCAGTAAATTCACTTTTATATCTGAAGGATATGTGAAAAACATTCTGTATTTCATTCTTGATAACTTTAATTTGTGTTTTCTGTCTCTCCCCTTTTTTGGTCAGAGAATTATCAATTTTATTAGTCTTTTCAAAAAAATGAATATTTGGCTTTGTTGTTTCTTTTTTATGTTTGCTTTCTATTTCATTGATTTCTGCTTTCTTCTTTATTGGTTCTTGCCTTTTACTTTCTTTGGTTTGTCACCTCCCCCTGCTCTTTTTTTGGTAAGTTCTTGAGATAGATACTTAGATGATTGATTTCTACCTTTTCTTCTTTCTCATGTATTTAAATTTATACTTGTATGTATTCATGACCCTTCTTTTCCCTCTGAGCATTGCCTTAACTGCATCTCACAGGTTGTCATATGTTCTGTTTTCATTATCATTCAGTGAAGTGTAATTCTTTTGATTCTCTAATTATTTGAAAGTTTATAGCTTAATTTAGAAATATTTGGGATTTTCCATTTATCTTTGTGTTACTGACTTCTAGCTTTAGGTCGCAGTGGTCAGAGAATGTACAGTTGGTATGATTTCATTTGTTTGAAATTTGTTAACGTCCCACATGGTCAGCTTTGCATCCTGCGTGTAGCAGTTCTAGGTTGGAGGGTGCATCTCCTCTGTATCCTTGCTGATTTTTGTGTGCCTGTTCTATCAGTTATTAGAAGTGTGTGTTTTTATTTCCTATTTTGATTGTGGATTTGTCTATTTCTCTTTAATTCTGTTAGTTGAGGCTTTAGTTGTTTTGAGGCTGTATTTTATTTTCTACTGAGAACGTGAGATATTTATATTTTCTTCTGTCTGTATTTAAATTTTTTCTTTTTTCTCCCCACAGCATCTCACTCTGACTTACTGAGGTGTGTTTTCCATCACGAGTTTCCCGCTTTGGTTTTCCAGCACTTAGCACTTCTTGAATCAGTGTCTTGATATCTTACATTTTGGGAAAGTCTTGGTCATTATCTCTTAAAATATTACTTCTGATCAGTTCTCTCCGTTCTCCTCTGAAACTCCAATTAAACACGAAAAAATTTCCGTGTCCATATGCTGGTTATATCCTATTCTCTTGTTTTCCCATCTTTTTCTTTCTCTCTGTGCTTCAGTTTGACATATTTTTTCCTTACCTTTTAAAAAATCCACTAATTATCTCCTCAGCTGTAGGTTTTTCATTTCAGTTATCACATTTCCCAATCTAAGCTTATAACTCGATTCTTTTAAAAAATAGTTTTCAGTTCTCTGCTGAAATTCTCCCTATTTTCATCTAACTTTCGGTAATTGTGTTCAAAGATTTTTGATGTGCATATTTTAACTGCAATATTAATCATATTTAATAATTCAGAAATACTACTCATATTTTCATTGACTACCAGACGTTGTGTATGAAAATTGTAGGAATAAATTTTTCTTCCTTGATGGTGCTGTTTTCCTCTTGATGCTGTTTTTCTGCTCCCTGCAGAGAGCTAGGCTGGGACCACGTCCTTGAATCTGATCAGAGGCTGAGTTGATTGATGGAGATTCAGTCTTACTGGGAGTTTTTCCACTGCTGCTGTAGTCCTGTCAGGGTGAGGAGGGATCTCAGATAAAACTGGGGTGTTTCCTAGACCCTCACACCCGAGTCCCTGAACTCAGGCCCCGCAGGACCCAGTAGGCTCAGGTTCTCCATCCTTAGGATCCCACGTACCAGACTCCTGTGCCCTCTCCTGAGGGCCTCAGACCGTCAAGTCCTTGTAGCCTTGGTAGCTGTTGGAAGCTTTCACACAGATTTAAAAAAATCATCCATAATTTCTAGTTGTTTGTCTTCAGCAAGTTGTCCATCATTCTGACTTTAATAATGGATCTTTTAAGTCTGCAGTTAGTCTTCTTTCACATATCAGGTATTTTCCTGTCATTTCCTTGAATTTCTCACCTGTATTAAAAAAATGTCATCTCTACCTTTAGGTTCAATTTTTGATCATTGTTTTTGTTTTTCGTTTTTTATTTTTATTTTTTTAACATCTTTATTGGAGTATAATTGCTTTACAATGGAGTGTTAGTTTCTGCTTTATAACAAAGTGAATCAGCTATACATATACATATATCCTCATATCCCCTCCCTCTTGTGTCTCCCTCCCACCCTCCCTATCCCATGCCTCTAGGTGGTCACAAAGCACCGAGCTGATCTCCCTGTGCTATGCGGCTGCTTCCCACTAGCTGTCTATCTTACATTTGGTAGTGTATATATGTCAATGCTACTCTTTCACCTCGCCCCAGCTTATCCTTCCCCCTCCCCGTGTCCTCAAGTCCATTCTCTACGTCTTCGTCTTTATTCCTGTCCTGCGCCTAGGTTCTTCAGAACCATTTTTTAAAAATTCCGTATATATGTGTTAGCATATGGTATTTGTTTTTCTCTTTCTGACTTACTTCACTCTG